CTCAGCCAGCAGAGAGACCCCAACCCAGCCATGCTCTCACCCCCCTTTGTCAACAGGATGAGGGAAGAAAATAAGATGGAAACTTTGTGGGTCAGAATGATTCCTTAGCAACTACTGTCATGGGCCAAACAGACTCAACTTGGGGAAATTTCATTTATTGCCAATTAAAATTAGGTTGGGATAGTGAGTATCAAAGATAAAAGTAAAAATACCTCCCCCCTCCACTCCACCTTCTTGCCAGGTTCAATATCATTCCTTCATTCCCAAGTCCTTGGCTTCCAACATCCTGAGGGGCACAGTGTAATGGGAACTGGGGTTAGTCCGTAATAGCTCCTCCCTGTACTTCTTCCTCCTCCTCACATTTTTCAACTGCTTCAATGTGGGTCCTTCCCACAGGCTTCAGTCCTTCAGGATAAACCTGCTCCTTTGAGGGCTCCTCTACAGGCTGCAGGGGAATCTCTGCTCTGGTGCCTGAAGCAGCTTCTCCCCTCCTTCCTCACTGACCTGGATGATCACAGGGCTGTTCCTCTCACTTTCTTCCCCTCCCTCTTCCCTTTTATGCAGCATTTTTGCCCTTTCTTACATATTTTTCCTCCAGGTGTCCCCTCCTCAGCTATGGTAGGTCAGAGCTGGCTGGAACCATCTGTGTCCAGCACGGGGCAGTTCCAGCCTTCCCTCCTAGAGCCCCTTGCAGCCGCACTGCCCACGCATGGGCACCATACAGCACCATACAGCCATATGCACAAGCTGTTTCTATAACACAGAATTCCTACCTTTAGTTATTTCACTGTGCTCTGATGGTTCTGTTTCATTCTGAAGCTGAGGAAGAGATAAACTTAAGTGAATTTCCTCTCACCAGAGGACCATGAAGCACTGAGGTCATGCGACCCTGAAAGACAAATGCAGCCTTTGGCTGAAGCAGCGCTGTTCCCAGGGGCGGAAAGGAGGTACTAGTGTAATACAAGACACTGAGAAGACTTTATATCAAATGCTACGGGCAACTCTAAGCTGCCAACATTTAATAAAAAGGAATTCAAGGGGGAAAAGTGACAAACAAAGAGTATTAGGATGGCTAGGAAAATAAAAGGGCAGATTGATTTGTACTCATGAATATGCAAATGAGTCTCCAGGTGTAAAAAATAATTATGTAAGATAAAAAGGCAGTGATAATACAAGAATAAATTACTTTAAATTAGAGTAGACTTTAGGTTCTTTTAGCCTTGGGCAATACATTGCTTGGGAATTCTGATGTCCTAAAAAAAGCTCCTTAACCTTAGCCTCAACCAGTGACACAGTGATACTTTAAAATTCTATGGTGCTGAGAAAAAAAGGGAAGAGTTAAAGCATCGGACAAACTACATATTCATGTCCAACTGAAACCTGGTTGGACAACATAACAACCAGTCCCAGCTACCTCATCCCAGAGCCTCCTAGGTTATTTTTTTGCATTTAATTCTTATGACTCCTAAGCAAGGCTGCTGCTGCTGCTTTCCAGGATACACTTTCTTCCTGTAAATATGACCCACCAAACAAGATAAGCAAACTCTTGTTAGATGCTCTATGCCTACTCTATGCAAACCTCCATGCAAAAGCAGTTTGCCCGCATGGCTTTTTTTTTTTTTTTAAGATATCATAGTTATAATCTTGATTTATGCTTACAAGATCCTGACAGAACTGCAAGGTCCAGAAATGTGGGAAAGTCAAACCCTCTACTTTGCAGAAAATTAGTCCTTTCTCAGGTATATTTTGTAGCCTGCTTTGTGCAGTTCCCATGCTTAAATTTCAGTCAACACAGCTTTGGTGACAAAATGCAGTGTTCACATGGTAAACTGCTTTTGGCAGCAGAAGCAGCAAAGCAGGAGAGGGAAGTTGCAGATCTACAGAGCAATACAGAAGTCACGCCGAGTGAGTACCTGGAGCTGCCACAATCAATTACCAGTACTAAAACCTCTCAAGTCTTTACAGTAAGTATCAAGCGACATATTGGTGAAAACACTGTCAGCTTATGCAGCATGCTCATGTGAGCCAAGCAGTCAAGGGAGCAGAGGCAGCTGGAATTATATGAGGAAATAAATATATCAGACCAGAAGTAATGCATCTGATAAAGCGAGTATTAAATTTCCACTCTTTGCTCAGGTCATATCCCTAAGGACTCAGCAGTGACCCTAGCTGACTCATCAGAACATGCAGACAATAGCAGCAAGCAATAGCCCAGCCAATTTCCTTGCTTTCTTCTTACTTGTGGACACATGAGCAGGCACCACTCCTTTCAAGCTTGGCCTGTCTGCCACCTTGAGCTATAAACAAGGACAGCTATGTTCTTGCAGGTTTGCTCTATCTTTGTCATTCCAGCTCATTTATCACTGTTCAGCTTGGGGAAAACAGAAAGGCACAATGTGCTGAAAAAACATTTGTTCCTGCTCTGTGGCACCATCACTACCAGAACATGCTAATTAGTCTATCAGATCCAGAGCATGAAGCACCTCTTCCAACACTGAAAACCCATCCGGGGGGCTGAAAACTACAGCAACAGGCATAATTTACTTAATTAATGACCACTGCTTCTATTTTTTTGTTCCAACTGAAGTACCATTGCCATGACACAAGATAAGAAGATTGTAATTGCTAAGTAACACTGACAGCTTAAGTGACAATACTTTCTGGGAAATACAGTAAGAACTAGTAAGTAAAATTTGACCTTTTAATTGAAAATATCTGAATAGCAAAACATTAATAACATTTAAATTCATTTACAGATCATTTATCAAAAACAAAAAAGGGACTTTATTCATACAAACACTATTATACATTGTTCTTCTCATTCCAGTCTGTACCCACACACATTCCAGTTAGTGGAGCTTTACACATGAATGTCTCGCTTCTGCTTCAATTAATCTTGGGGACTTCAGTGCAGAGGCAGCCAGCCAGTTGCTTGCACAGTGCATTCTTATAAGAATAATTAGAGTGCCAGTAATGATGCTGTGTTCCTTTAACTCACTAATGCTGAAAAGCATCAGGAATTAATTCCTGCAAAGCACCACGCAAGACACACATTTTTAATGTGTTAGAATTGTATTTTTTTGCAACGAGATAAGTTTTTGGTGTTTTTTTTGGGTTTATGTTGTTTTTGTTGTTGTTAATTTATACTAAACCATGGTGTGTCACATGGAATTAAATGAAGTGTCTTTGCAGTTAGAGGCTAATACAAAAATGGACCACACATTTCAGATACACAAGCCAGAAGGGATGTTTTTTACCTCTTTTTAATGCATACTTACATATACCACAGCTTCTGGTGTTCTGAACAAGCTCATGGGAACAATATGTTAAATGCTGTTGAAGGAACATTAGTTTACTAGGTTTTATAGCTATTTCCATGGATATGGTATTTGAAAAGTATGACATACCTTTGTCAACTTTAACAGAACACTTCAAAACAAACAAATAATTTTTTTCAGTGCATGCTTTGCATAAACTGTTTAAGCTACAAGTAGCAAGTAAAAACATAATAGGCATTTTTTAATCAGTAAATGAAACTCCTGGTAGACAGCTATTCAATTAAATACTTTTATTTATGTACACAGTGTAAAGATGCTGTACCATTCAGCAAATGTTACATTGTATAAGAGCAGACTTGAGTTTGGTTAATATTTCTAAATTCACTTTAAGTCTCCCTGAGGTTAAAAAAGGTTTCTTATAAATGTACATCACATCAATATTTAATCATTGTGTTCAGGAAAATGCAAAAAACCCTGAAGATTTGGACATGGTTATTTAGCGAAAGATGAGCCTGACAGGAAATGCTGAAAACTACTAGACGAAAATATTGCCGTGGTAATGTGAGGGCTGCAAGATCATGACCAGTACTGCAAGTAAATATTATAGAAAAATTGACGGGTTGGGGGGAAGAAACCATGACAACTTTTGGAGAAAAACATATGACAGGACACAAACAGAGGAAAACACAAACTGGGATTTAGGAATGTTGTTTGAAGACAGTAAGAACCAGATGCCTGGTCAAGGTGTCTTAGATCAGGTATTTTTCTTTAAAAAAAACCAAACCAAACAACTGAACACCCTCACCCCCACCATAGTTTCTTGGTTTGGGTTGTTGGGGTTTTTTAGAAAAAAAAGCTTCAAACAGCACTCCTTCCAATAAACTTGTTCAACAAGAGAGCATAACCATGTCCCTAACACCTTGGTAAACAAAAAATTCACCCAAAATCATCTTATGTAAGGGTTTTCCAAATCCACAGCAGCAAACCTTGTGACCTGATCCAGCCACTGTTGAAGTTGACTGTGCATTTTTCTAAATGGGATTGTGGATGAGGCCATGTAAGAGGCCAAAGGGGACTGGGATTAGTTTCACATCAACAAAATTTACAAACAAGGTATGGCTAGTCTACCTTTTGGTTGAAAAGCAGTATTTAGTTGTAAGAGTAATTAGACACCAAAACCCTCAGTTTGAGGACTTTTTCAGGATTGTTTCAGAGCAATCAGACAGTCATGTTCAATAATAAACCAGAAAATCCTCCTGAAGGAAGCAGCCAAAAGGCAGTGAAGAATCACAGAATGGTTTGAGGTGAAAGGGACCTTGAAGATAATCTAGTTCCAACTCCTTTGCCATGAGCAGAGATGCCACCCACTAGACTAGGTTGCTCAAAGCCCCATCCAACCTGGCCTTGAACACACTTCCAAAGATGGAGCATCCACAGCTTCTCTGGGCTACATGTTGCAGTGCCTCACCACCCTCAGAGTGAGGAATTTCATATTAATATCTAATCTAAATCTTTCCTCTTTCAGTTTAAAGCCATTGCCCTTGTCCAATCCCTACACACCTTTGAAAAAGGTATTTTTATATTGTAGTATAAAAAAAGAGGCTCTGTGTAACAGAACCAGTAACTCCAAATCTAAGCCATCAAGATGAAGAAGAAAGGTTGTCTATTTTTGATGTACTGTATTTCTAGCTGGCCTGTAAAATCCCATCAAACCAACATAAGTGAGTGCTGTTGATTCTTTTATTGCATGGCTTTCTTGTTCTAGAAGGTCTACCAGTGTTTAGGTTAACAGGTGTTCTGAGGTATTAGTCATTATACAGTTAAGACATGCAAAAGATTTAATATATACCACAACACTGTTTGCAAGAAAAAGCCCACACCATGATGCAAACTAAAAAGACTGCATTATGACAATAAAAACATAATTTTAATGAAATATTTAAAAGCCATTTAATAAAATCACAAAAATTAGTAATACAAAATATTACATGTTAGGTATCTGGTACCATGGCATAAATTTTCATCTGTCTTTTTTTTTCAGTCACAAATTCACTACTAACTCCCACTCTCCATATTCTTTTATTTTAGCACATAGAACTTCACCTCCTTTAGCCAGCCACTGTAAGAATTACACACCTGGCCCACACTACTTCTGATGCTTCCATTTTCTGTTAGGATTCTTCAGAATTCTGTAGCTGGGACTTTTATAATTATTACCTTGTTTTATTGAATCCAAACCTTTAAATGTTAAGCTTCATAGAGCACACCATCATTTTGATATCTGGTCATTGGTGACTTACCCTCTGCCTTTCTTTCTGAACTCCTGCAGGTGAGGTTTGGATTCTGCTACATATGCATTCAGATCACATTTTGTGGGTTTATTTCCAAGGAATTCATCTCTCTGCTTTCTTCAAAGTGCTCTTAACAGTACTCTCCCCCCAACAAATCCTCAGGAGAGGCTTTAGAGAACTCTTTTTACTATAGGATGGTGCCCAGACAGGTGATATTGCAGTGTTTTGGCAACCTCATTTTGCCCAGCTTAGGAGTAAGAAGACAGCTCCAAGTTCTCTATTGAGTATAAGCAGAGTAACAGACAGGGTTGCTGTATAAAACAACTGTCCCTCTCTATGACCCTCTCAGCCTAATTTCGAATGGGCAATTTCAGATACTCACCTCTTCATCATTATCAAGAGGATCTGGCTAAATATTTGTGACCTAACAGAAAGATGTTTCCTCTCCCTCATAGAGCAGCAATTCAACTCTGTGCTCACACAGAGTGAATTAGGTAACACAAAAACCTGACCACTAGTTTCCTCTCTTCACTCAGAACAAAAAACCACTGCCACTAAAACTTAATAAAATGGGGCTCTTTTCACCAAAGAGTGCTTTCCTTACACTTTTAAAACAATATGCTCCACCACAGATCAGTACACGAAGTCTCTAACCCATGGCTTGACCTAAAATTCTTCACAGCTTGCACTTGCCCAGTCTTATGCTTTGCAGAATAAATCTGTGTAGCAGTCATGTCACACACAGTTCCAATTAAGAGGCTTTTTATCTTACTAGTTCCGTGCACCAGAAGTAGTATCTTTGTCATTCTCCTGCCACTAGGGGTCACTCTCTTCTACAGTGATCTTTATCCCTTAATCCGCTTCCCAACACTTCCCCGGGAATCATCAGACCAGTATTTTAAGTGGGAGAACATCCATTGCCATTAGTTCCTATCCAAAAAGGAACCAAATTATTCAAGTCGAGGAAAGATTTTTGTGATGTGACAAATAAAGTGCAAAAGATTGTTAGCGTCATTTTGTATGCTCTTCAAAGGTAAATAAAAACACTAATAGAACAACAGAACTCTACAGGAGCTGAGCTGGGCTTTTCTCCACTGAGGAGTCATCTCAGATTCTAAAATCCTCTAAAACTAAGTGCATTTCCAAAAATAAGAGGAACCATAACAGGAGCACTAGTGGAACTAGTGGGGCCTACAAATAAAATAATTTTACTAATCAAACAATAGTCTTTTGAAGGACAGAGCAGAGTCACATTTTGTTGTTGCGACTTGTACTTCATTGATTTCAATTCCAGAAGGGATCACTATGACTACCTAGCTAGTCTACACATACAGCAAATGTGGGCATCCCCACATGCACGTTTTTGGTGGATACGAACTCCTCCCATACTGAGGGCAACCTGAAACTACAACTCACTTTGACAGCAAACACTCACTTATCTTCCCAAGTTTCTCAAGTGAACTTAAAATAAAAAACCAAAAAAAATTTATTAACAAAACAAAAAAACACCACCAAATACCCACAAACCAACCAACAACAAACCCCAAAGCTAAGCCATGACTGCATTCTTCCACTGACCAGTTCAGCCACTTGGAATGATTCACTGGCACACAGGAACTAGGTACGTACGCATACCTAACTTGGGTCATAATTGATCTTAATAAACAACGTAATTTCCAGTACCAGCATCTCTGCCATTTGTGAAATATGATTCAAGCTAAACTTGATTCAAGCTGAGCTTAACAGACAACTGTGAAGCCACTTTGAAGCATTAGGACAAAGGCTGCCAATAGGGAGCATGTCACTACTAAATTATGAAATACTGCCCAATCTGACAAAATTGTTGGCATAATTCATAACCAAGAGGGTTAAGTTCTAATGTGTATGCACATATGAAGCACAAACAATGCTTTTCAATACTTCTGATGCATACAGAATGCTACCAGCAAGGAACCACTGTGTCAACGAGCTTCTCGTAAAAGTTTCTAATTCACATGCAAAGAATTACTTCGCATTGTACTTTTGCGTTACCCTACTAGGAAACTGCTGCTTCGGTGTTATATCCTCTTCTTTTGTTGTGTTTCACCGTTTAATTTTCCATTTTCCACTGCTTTATTTTCAAAGTTCCAGTCTGTTGGGCTGAGGAGTTGCTGAGTTTTTTTGTATGTCCAGTATGGGTTAAGTATTAGTGTAACAGCAAATAATCCCGAGAATAAAACAATAAAGTGAAGAAGTCCCAGGTTTTCAACCACAGAATTCCAATTGAAAATACACACCCACCACATGTGGTAAGTAAGAATCATGCGGCAGTGAAACAGGTGGATCATCACCCACTGGTTTGCCTTCCAGAAAAAGGTGTTAGCACAGCCAGCCTAGAAAAACGAGAACACAAAGTATGCAGAAGTGAGATTGTTACTTCAAGATAAGGAACTGAGGAATCTGTAGAACTAATGCAAATATCCAGTTTTCACAAACACACGCTCTCAGGCATTTTTTCCACATAGTGCTATGATATTCCACATGTACATGGCATCCCAAACTCAGTACACATCTATACCATCTCACAATGCGCACACACACAGCACCACACAGAAACCTACATGGAGGATTACAGAAATACCATCACTACAAAACCAGGTATGGCAATAACATGGATATCAGTTGGATTAACACAGTTTTGATGAAAAGCTATCCAGACAAACCACACACACTACCTATGGACAAGTAAAATGCACAAAAACTGATATACAAACGTAATCTGAAAATTATCACATTCTTACCTTCAGAAGCATCCAGGAAATGCACGTTGCAGGAGTACTCATCTCCAGCAACATTCCCATCAAAGGCAGATAATGTCCAGATTTCACATTAATTACCAGACCAGCCAAGCCACCAAAAGCAAGTAAGTGATGAACTACCAAGAACACATCAAATGTTCTAAAAACAATGTTGGACAAATGGACTGCTACATTTTCAAGCAAGAAAAATCCAGCAGCTATTAAACAGTTAAACCAACTCCACTTTTGCTGCGAATACACTTTGTCAGCATGAAAAACGGGATCTATGAGCAAAGCCCATAACCCAGCAACACAGCTCTGAAGTCCAAACACACCACGTGTGACTGCCATATTCCAAAACACCTTCTCCTTTGCATACAAGGCACGGTAAGTGGTACTTCTCCATGAAGACAACCAGTGAGACAGAAGAAATACTGCCAAGTAGATTAAAAAACCAGCAGCTAATATTGTCAAACGAACTTCCCATAAGAGATAGTCCCAGTCAAAGATGGTCCCAAGCACTCCATCATCATTTGTAGGATTCATTTCTTCTCTTTTGACACTTCTCATTCCCACTATAGTATCCTTCATGCCTATTCAGCTTCTGCTGTTACATAAATCAGAAACCATGAGCTCTTCTTTTCCATCTGGAACAAGGAGAAAAATATTTAGTGAATTTTCAAGTCATCCATATACACAGCTTCTAAACCACAGAGAACTCACATCCACTGCAGTTATGACTTTGGTTCTGTTGCCATTAGGCAGTATTCCCAAAGACAGGTAGACAGACAAAAAAAACATGTTTCAGATTAAAAACCGACCTGTGAAATCTGTACTAGTACAAAGTAATGCACTGAAGCAAAAGCAGAAGAGGGTCAGGAAGGAAGGCAAGAAACAGGAAGACAAAATACAAGAAACAAATCCTGTTTTGTTACTTATGAAACTTTTATTTCAACAGTATTGCGCAGTTATTGTACTACTCCCCTGCTTTTCCTACACTGATCTTCCACCATTTGCTATGGCTTTAGGTGCAATTCAGTATCTCAAATACAGATCCAGGACATAAAACCACAGAAACTTAATGCGGAAGTGGGACCACTTACGCTGGAAAAGGGCTGTCATGATCATGGCTTAAAACAAGGCTGTGCAATCAGTATTTGAACATTAAGCCACTTTCCAACAGAAAATATATTCAAAAATGAAAAGAGACTATGGAATGCAAACAAGTGACATTATTATATATTATTAACAACATCAGTGTAATTAACTGAACAGCCCAGCACCAAGTTAGCTGAAACTTCCTGAACACACTGTAGTTCAAAAATAAGGATAAGTGGGGAGAGAAAAGCCAGCCAGTACTGAAAGATTTGAATGCCAGCTCGTTTTATGAATTATTTAGACGGCATTAGCAGGATCACGAGACCCACCGCTGCCTGTAAATGCTTAACATCACTACGCGTCTGGCAGTCTGGTGCGAGCCAGAAGAAAAAGCCACAAAAAGCAGCGAAAGCAGAACCCCCAACGAGAATCTCTTGCTCTGCTTCAGCAGGCAGCAAATCCCACCACCACAGCCTGGATCCCCCAGGCACATGCTCGCCCTGCCCTTCGCTCAGGTGCCCCGCCCCCAGGAGGGGGTGAGCCGGGAGCCCCGAAGGCCCTTTGCCCACCCCGCGCCGCCTGGCAAGGCCGACCTGAGGTCCCAGCAGCCCCCTTTCTCCTCTCCCGGGGGAAAACGGGGCAAAACACATCAATCCGACGGCACGACCAGGCCCTGAACAGCGCGACCCACTGCCGTGACAGCTCCTCCGCCCCCGCACAGACACCGCAACGACACGGCAGACACGGCACCGATATGCCCGTCCTCGTCCCCGTCCCCGTCCCCGTCCCGCCCCCGCCGAGCCCCTCAGGCAGACCGGGAGGGCTGGTGCCGGCACGCAAACCCCGCTCTCACCCGCCGCTCCTCACCCACGGCGCTGCCCGCGATGGCGGGACGGCCCTGCCCGGCTCAGCTCGGAGACGGCCCTCCCCGGCCCCCGGGAGCGCCCAGCCCAGCCCGACTCGCCCGGGGAGGCCCCGACCCGACCCGGCCCGACCCGCCAGTCCCGCAGCACCGCCCCCTGCGCATGCGCCGCTGTCGGCACCAACCACCGCGGGGCCGGGGGAGGGCGCGGCGGTACCACTGGGGGGGGGGGGGGGGGGCGGTTTTTTTGCAGGGAGCGCGTTCTCTGCCTCACGGCAGCCCCGAAGGGCGCCGCTGCCGGAAGGTGGGCAGTCATCAGCCTGCTCAGCAGGAATAGTGATAAAAAAGAAGTATCAGCGATGCCATAGCCAATACCTTTGACCATAATTATCCAGTTTCATTAAAGGCAGCAAATTATTAAACAGATGCCGTGGTGGTGTTCTGTTCCGCGATTCTCTCCATGCTTGTGACAAGTGATGCTGTCATCCCGGTGACTCATCCTGGCTGGATCTCCCGAGATCACTGAACCCACCGCGGGAGGGTTCCTCGGCTGTTCGCCAGCCCCGCTCCCGCGGTATGCTTGGATCCAACGGGAGTCATTGGCAGGGACTGCCAGTTCTGGCAGGGAAAAGCTCAGTCCCACAACAGACCAGGGGATTCCTCAAAAAAGTGACCGAAAAAAGACAAATCAAGCCACAGCTTCTCTCACATGGAGTACTGGCCTATAACAGCTGACATCCTAAACTGGGTCTACATGTGGTGAGAGACCAGAGCTGGGAAACCCGTCCTGACGCGCGCTCGCTTTCCAGAGGGGAGGAGGGAAATACTGCCATTCCCTGCGGAAAACAGGGGCTTGCCAGAGCAGCAGGATAACTGAGCAGGAGGGGTTTTGTGGATTAGCTTTTAATTGCTAATGTGATACCCCTCTCCCTGCGGACCCCCAGGCTCTTTCTTTGCAAGATCTGTCCGTGTGCCACCTCAGTAGTTTAGGTACAGGCAGCAACAGCTGTTTGTTGGAAAAGTCCCGGGACAAAACCTACAGCTTCTGCCTCCTTTTAATGCGCTGGCTCCCTCCGAGCTCTTCTGCAGACAGCCCCAAGGGACAGCAGGGCTCCGACGAAGCCCTGCCTACACACCCAGACACAACCCGGGTGCCACTGAGGTGAGTCACAGGAGCAGCGCACCTGCCACTTCACCACCATAACCTCAGCAGCACCAGGCTCAGAACTAAATGCAGGGCAAGTAAATACAGCCAAAATACCTATTTCAGGCAGTGAGCATGACTGAGTGACACAGGCTGTAATGACATGCGCTGGCAAATTGGTCTTGTAGAGAGAGGGATTAGTTTTTGCTCAGAATTGAGAGTAAATTTCTTGCAAAGCTTTTGGATATGGTCAGAGCCATTTACTAACCCTGAAGGGGAAAAAGAGCTGCAGAAGTTCTAGAGGAGCTGTCACTTGGAAAGTGCTTCCTAGCTTTATTAACCTCTGTTCCCTAGGAGATGTCATACCTGTCCTGGGAAACCTGAAAACGATAATAAAGCTGATCAAGCAAAAGCAGGGAAGAAGTTGCTCTCTCAAGCAGCATGATGGGGCTGATGTACCAAGGGCATGTGTTTTAGCTTCCCCTAATTTTGCTTTTTCCATAGCTGTCTTTAAATAATTCCTTCAATTTGTAACATCTTGAGGAAGGAGATTTTTTTTACTTACATATGATCACAACTATGATCATACTGTCAAAAGCAAGATCACAGTCTGTTGTCTTTCTGTGGATTTTCCTTGTCTTTGCTACCTTTCTTGCCTTCTCAAGCATAATCACATTTTTTTGATTACTAGCAACTATAACCATGTTGAAATAGTTTAGTGTTACTTTCTGAATCTCCTGATACTACAACCATACTTAGTGATAGCTTTTTGATAGGTGACTCATTATGATCACTTCAGGTATTTCAAAGTAGTTCTTCTGGCACTGAGGCTCATCGTCCCTATTATGTCATATTCAGTTCTCCTTTTTACAGTTATTCTGTCTGGATTCTACAGCGTGCCCTGTCCAAAGCTAAATTTCCTATCTACACTGTCTCAGTTTTGGAAAACTTTCTCAGCATCTTCAAAATGTCGTGGCTCAAAGAGCACCTCCAGCAGGGAGCCCTGCCTGCAGTCTGGATGATCAGCTCCTTGTAGCTAAAAGCCTCTTCATACAGGTTCAATAGTGCTTGCCTGAAGTCAAGAACAAGTGTTTTTTTGTTGCGTCAATGGCTACATCTACACATCCTCCACCATGTGGGGATTGCCTTTTACTTTGAAACAGTTGGCTGTTTCCCAAATATTTCCAATACATAGATATTCCCAAAATATCTATATAAATGTTGGCTTCAGATGGTAATTTTGACCATACTCCTGCTTCAGATGGGACCCATGCCCCAGTCCCAGAAACCATCTAGACAAGTATTAGTTAGTACTGGTGAAACACCTTTAACACTTTTACATTAGCACTCTTCAGTGGAGTTAGAGCACCTTAAAGGCAGAGACTTAGGAGATGTATATGGAGGCCACAAGGCCAACCAGTGAGATCTTCGGTGAGAAGGGAGCATACTGTTTGTGCAGGGGCTGCAAGATGACTCCTGTAGGATATGCAGGGGTGCTTGTGTCTATGTGTGGTGGGAATACAGAATATGGCCAGCTGGTGCTTCTGTTGCCATTGACAGCAAGTTGAGTAATGTGTTTTAGAGGTGAGTTGAGAAAGGAGTTTCAATCCCATTATCAAATTAATCCATCCATTGCAGACAAGTGTTTGTCCTGTAAATATTTCCCTTGGACATGTAGTGGCAGAAAAGTTCACAATAAGCCATGTTGAATTCTGCCTTTTGCAGTGGCAGCAGAGGGAATTTTTCTCCCTGCAAGAGACACGGCATGATGACAAAGTGGCCGCAAGTTACCTGTGGCAGAAGCAAAGGGATGCAGTTTGGAAGAAATCCTTCCCGGTGAGGCTATTTTAGGATCATTTTATAGCTCTTTCTCATCCTCTGAGTAGCATATGAAAGAACTTAATGTACTGCCTAAGGTTATTTTAATTCATTTTTTAATTCCATAGTACCAAACACTTGTAGTCAGTGTATGTTGAAGTAAGTAATATGATCATAAATAAGACCTGAGCTGGTAATCTTCCCAATAGAGCTTAAAATGTCTACTGCTAATTTAAAAGTCAAGAACTTGTTGACTTCTCAAAATGTTTTAGCCCTCTGCTCCCAAAGTTTTAGAAAAGCTTACACATTTACAGACGCAGATTCATGCATATATGCACAACTTGTGTTGACCTGTCATACAATCATGTATTTTCAGTGACATGGTTTCTTTTTTTAAACTGAAAGTTACACCTTTACCACCTACTAATCTATCTGTGTTCAAATCTCTTGAGAGCTTTACTGCTAGTTGAGAGAGCTTTGCTTCAAGTCTGTGGGAGGTTTAGTCAGTGCCCACTTCAAGGAACGCTGTGGCAATATCAAATGTGTAATCTTGGGAGATGGGGGTTAAGGCTTTACACATACTCTCAAAGTTCTTCTAATTCTTGTCCAACAAGTACTTATGCACTATTCCTAGATGCAAACCACAGTTATTCAAAGGAGCACTTTGAACAGGCTTGTTTAAGACCTTTTTCTTCTCAGCTAACAGGAAGTATACTCAACTTTTTTTAGAAACCCGTATTACAAGGCTTTCACGTGTGCCAGGGATTCAGAATGTCTTTACATTGCATAACATATTCATCTGCCCAGACTAGTTTGTTTTCCTCGGTACTTGGAGATCAGCACTAGTTTCTACAACCTCTTTTTGTATTTCACTTCTGGTCAGTTTTAAGTGAGTAATCAACTCCTTATGTTTCAGAACAGATATTGAAAATAGTTGCCTGGAAACACTTGATATTCTCAAAATTTTAAACCATTCAGATTTGCTGAGCATCCAGACTTTGAGCTAACAGTTGTGGGAAAAATCACACCAATGAAACTGTCTGTTTCTTCCTGCTTGAATCCTTCCAGACAATGAATGTAATGTAGAAAAACTGGAGATTCTTTGCTCAATCCGTCTCAAGATCATTCCCCATTTCTCTTTATGAACATTTCATGAAAATGCTAGAGGGATGCAACCACTGTTGAGTCATGCTATGCATCCCAGTTTCACTCAAAAAGCTCTATTGGGTTGAATCACTGCTTAAATATATTTAATAATATAACGTTTCCACCCTCTTTTCCCTAACTCTGTCCAGTCAGTTCCTCTTTATGGTCCTCCCTGAGGATCTTCACCTCCTAGTGCCCAGTATCACTGGTGACACTAGCCCCTTATTTTACAATTTAGGAATAATAAATAAGAATAATACGGACACTAGTTCCTCAGTTGCTTCTGGTTGGCTTCAGATAACTAGCACAAGGTGAGGATACAAGGTTGGGTTCACAGTTGAACGTTTTTATTCCTCCCTCACCCATCAACATGTCTTAACAATGTTCACTGGAACAAGTTATTCTGCCTTAGTAGTTAGGCTCTTGCTTCACAGCTGTAATCATGCAGGTTAGCCTTAACTGGTGTTTCAGGTTTACTAAGAATCTCTAGTTCTTCTTCATCATTTTTCACACAGTTACCTTCAGTGCCTCTTCAGGAACCAAAGGAAAATCCTGTGACTGTCTCATGGAATATATGCTTATCATTTTGGGGTTTTATTTAGCTCCAGGTAGTCTCACCTGAATAGAAACTGTGGGCTTTACCAGCAGGCAGAATGATGCTTGTCAAATAAGAGCAGGCAGTGACTGGCTTACCGGTGGGTCTCTACCAAGAGTTTCATTCCAAGTTATCACCTCAGACTATCTTTCAGTTGTATCTGTAGACAGCTACCAACAGTCCCAGTGAAAACCCTCTGAGGTGAAGTCAAGGACCTTACAATTCCTGTTTGACAATGGTGTGTAGAAACCAGAAACACTCTGTGGCCTCATTCAGTAATCTGATAATTTTAGTTTTGGAAATTTCAGTAAAATGACAGCAAATCCACCAAGATTCTCAACACCTTAAATGGCTTCTTGGAATAAGCAGCCCATAAGAAGTAAAGAAGATGGAAGGTGACAAGATATTTTCC